GGACAAGTCTTTAGGAGCTTCAACGGCTCCGGTCGCTTCCTGTTCACAAGATAGGTATTCTTCCATCCCTGGTAGACGAGTACTCGCAGAACCACTCCGTGAACGATACAATTCCCGAATCTCGTTTATACATGAAGTATAAACGTCATATTCCGGAATCCGAGAAGCTTCAACAAACCACTGGCAGAAGTCCATAACAGTAGAGCAGCCGGGCGGTGAGTTGGGTAAAGTGAATTGCGCATGGGTTCTCCCGGCGGAGAAAAAGTACCATGCGCGAGCTCCTTCGTATAAATTCCCAATCTGAGCTAACGCCGGGTTAGGATTGCCAACATAGAGTTGGTCATATCCAAACTGTCTCGCGAACCGAGAAGGCATGTAAGGCTCGATTACGCACTTCTCCCGTGAGCGATAGACCAGGTAGCCCAACCTGATCATAAGATCAAAAAGCAAGTCCATGAAGCGGGCATCCTCCACATCAGCTCCATCAAAGTTAGGAGCACAGCAGAAAACACGGTAATTGTCTTTCCGGGATAGAAGTTGTCGAGCCCTGACTATATAAGAACTAGTCCACGTGGCCGACTCCAATCTCTGAACGAAGGGAGTGTAAGCGTCATCCCCCTCATGCACTACCGTCATCAAGGAAGGGCAATGCAACACGAACCTGGCCACTAAATATGTATACGGCATTGGTACGCGTGGTTGAGGAGCTTTCCCAGCCTTCTTCTTAGTAGCTTTGACTCCTACAGCACTGAGAAGTTCTGAAGTCAATATCCTCAGGCCGTTCTGGACACAGCCAACCATAGCAGTAAGGAGACTCACAGGTCTCCCGTGTGCCAGCAAAACAGCTGGGTACACAACCTCTACGCATCGCTTTAACCAAATCATGAAGAAGCCGGCAAGTAGAGCCGTGTCAGAGATAGGAACTGTGGCTTGGTAGTGAAAACTTTCAAACTCGACACCAGCTTCAAAGTCATCCTCTGCGTGCTCTATTTTATAGGTAGCACCAGGAGCTTTAATCCGAGCCTGGGCGTCTTTAAGTGAGACAACTGCAACACGGGATACAACTACATCTTTTCGGTTTAAATTCTGAAAGAGGTAGTCTGCCCACGTGGTATGCATAATGCCCCCTCCACGCAACCCAAAGACTTGGGCACATATGTGGAAGTGGCACATCAGTTCCCAGAAAGTAGCATAAATTTCCGGGTGCGCCACCTTCAGTAGAGAAAGCTCCTCGGTGGTAGGGATGAACTCCTCGTAGGGTGTTTTTCCAAGGGACAACCCCGATACTGCCTGCATCTCATGAAGAGCAAAACCTAACTCTCCCGCAGGCGTGAAGAATGTGCAGCTGTCAGAGTTATATTTCTCCAACATAGCAAAGAAATTGTGAAGACTCTGCACAACTCCCCGTCGTGTAGTCGCGTAGCTAACACAGGAACTGTGAGACCCGATTGAGCGAGCGAATCCTTAAGCTCTTCAAGAGTGAAGTCAACCATGCGGGTCCACCACCCCGCTTCTCCAGAACAGACCCATCCAGGGGACCTGAACGTCTGGGTTGAGAATTCACCCTGAGTTGCAAGGAATTGACGAATAAAAATGTTCGCTGGACGTGGCATCTCCGGAATCAGCTCCTTCTTCTCAAACAAACCAGGTCTTAACCCCTTGAGTTGTCCCCCGATCCGTGTACGAGCTCGCCGACCAAATCCGAGCGACACGTTCTCCTTCTCCTTTACTATGTCGAAGGTCAAACCCCGACGTCATGCTAGGGAGAAATAAAGAGCGATTATCAACTCTCCGCAGCAGCTTTGAATCCTCCACGTATGTGAGATGATCATCGGCTGGTATGCGATCTCCAAATATGAACGCTGGTTTAGGAAACTGGGCATGACCGGCAGGGGTCTCCAAGTCCAAGTCAGTTATCAAAATCCTGAGAGTAGAGCATCGAGGGAACTTAATCATTTCTGCTCTTTCCGAATCAGGGAAAGTACACAATGGAATTTGGTTCTGAAGACTGAATATTTCATTCGCGTCAGATCCCCCGATGTACCCAAAATGATGCTCTTGTGAAAGTGGCACGTTTGGGAGAAGCACTGCACAATCAAAAGCAGAAGTTAGCGGCGAGCTATCAACATAAAGACATAGCCTGAAACATAAAGGGTTAAAGGCTCATGTTGAAATCTCCAACGCGAAGGTCGAGCCTCGCGTCAGAAATCTCCAACGCGAAGGTCGAGCCTCGCGTCAGATATCTCCAACGCGAAGGTCGAACCTCGCATCAGAAGTCTCAAACGCGAAGGTCAACCTCGCGTTGGAAAACTTGAACGCGAGGGTCGAGACCCACATGGGATCTCAACCCCGCGTTTTCATCAAGTTAAAACGAGTCATCTTCCTCGTTATCAAGAACCTATCTAGGGTTTTCTAAGAACTTGCCAAGGCAGGTTATTTTGGTCTGCACTCACCACGACAGGGAAGCCCCCGCAGCAGCGGTGACGACGACAATGTCCCCACATGAACAAGAGCGCCGTCGGCGTCCTCAGCCGACGGCACTTCTGAAGTCGCTCCGGCGACTTTCTTGGAGTTCGAACCCCTTCTCCGAGGTGCCATTAAAGCAGTTGATTGGAGGAAACTTCGTTGAACGGGGGAGACGAAGCTCGTCGGAGATCTCGCCGGAGTCAAACGAGGATTCTCGTTCTTGGAAACAGTCAAAAGTCTTGAAAGTCAAATGACTTTTGATATGACCACTCAGGTCTATTTATAACAGCCACCAAACTGTTAAGATGGCACAGGATTCTAGGAATGAATCCCAACCATCTTTCAAAACACGAAGCTCACATCCGCGTTCGAATTTCCCAAGTGCAAAGCTCAAGCCAACGGCACAAGGCCTGAGCCTCGCGTTTCAAATATTAAACGTGAGGGTCACCTCAGCGTTGCAATTCTTCTAAATGAAGAATATGCACTTGTACGCCTACTTAACAGAGTGTTAATCAAAACCTCTGTATCTCTTCAGCAGAATTCAAATTCTCATTGGGTTAATACTACGCCCCAAAATCCATTTATCAATTCTCAAAAATAGAATGATAAATCTCTGACTCATTGCCAATTTATTAGCTCTCCTCAGTAGAGCAATAAATAACTTGTTTTCAGTGGAGTAACAAACTCCCCCAAAATCTTGTTCAAATCACAAGTATCACAATTCATCGTTCCGATGATAAAACAATAAATAACTCGTTTTCAGTGGGGTAATAAACTCCCCCAAAATCTTGATCAAATCACAAGTCTTATAACTCATCACTCCGATGATAAAACATATAGCAGTTCTCCCCTGTGAGACGCTATAATATTCTTTCCCCACAAATGTCACGTTAAAATTACACCTCTGACAAAATCAACTTATCGATTCTCGTCAATAGAACGATAAGTCCTCAAAATTGCCCTGATCGCAATATTTCTTCCTGTCACGTTAAAATCACACCTCTGACAAAATCAACTTATCGATTCTCGTCAATAGAACGATAAGTCCTCAAAATTGCCCTGATCGCAATATTTCTTCTGTCACGTTAAAATCACACCTCTGACAAAAATCAGCTTATTGATTCTCGTCAATAGAACGATAAGTCCTCAAAATTGCCCTGATCGCAATATTTCTTCTGTCACGTTAAAATCACACCTCTGACAAAAATCAACTTATTGATTCTCGTCAATAGAACGATAAGTCCTCAAAATTGCTCCGATCGCAATATCTCTCTTGCTAAGTTAAAACTACACCTCTAGCATTTATAGATATCTGTCAGTGTTTAAAGCAAAACATAACACATGAAGAATTCTATTAGTCAACCCTATTATGGGAGTATTCGTCCTCAGCAGTTTGAAACTTTCTAGAGTTGTCTTAAATGATAATAAAGAGAGTTCTCTGCAACAGAACCATTGTGGAGGTATATTCTAAGTCAGGAATACATCTCAGGCATTTCTCGTGACTTGTATTTAAAATCAAAAAATGATAAATGCAAGAAACAATGAGAAGTCAATATCACTTTTTATTCAAGAACCAAAAGAAAGTGATACAAAACAAACTTTGTTCTTGTCAAAAGAACATTACAGAAGCCAAGCTCACTCATGCATTAAATCAAAAGAGATGAGTTGAGCCTTGAGTTCAGCTAGCTCCGCCTCGTGGTTAGCCTGCACCATAGCTTCAGCCTTTGCTCGGAGTTCATCCTCGCTGGGTACGATGATGGCTGCCACTTCCTTTCTGGCGTCTTCCAGAGCTTGAGCTTGTGCATGATACTCCAAAGTACTAGCTGCATTCTGGGTACTAAGGATGTTGACAATGCCTTCTTCGCGGGAGAGTTCAGCTTTCAATCGCAGGACTTCGGCTTCAGCTTCAACCAGTCTGTCCCGAAGCGAATTCATAGAAGCAGTTGAGCGTTCTAGTTCTTCTCGCTTCCGAGTGTTACGCTCACGAAGCTCTGCAATCTGACGCTCTTTTTCAGCTAAGTCCCGTTCTAGCGTCTCTCGGTGTATCACCTCAGCGACCTGAAGACTAGCCAAAGTGGACATAATTTGCGGCTGAAGGTCACTATGGCCCATGGTCTCGAAGCGTTGTAATTTCTCCTCCAAACGAAGGATAATCTCTGAGCAGCGTTCGAACCATTGAGTTTCGCCCACACTCCTGACCCCGTTTAAGCCTGCTTCCAGCAGAGGTCGAAAGGAGTTCAAAGTTCCTTGGCCATTCATCAGGGACTCAACTACCGTCTTCGCAAGACTGTTTAGATACACCAAGGAGATTTGAAGGAATTTAGGTGCATTAGCGAGACTGACAATTGCACCCGAAGATACCCCTTCAGCAGCTGAGACCGAGGCGTTAAGATAATGACCAGCAGGCGATCCAGGTGCCGAAGCTGCTGAGGCAATTGAAATGTTCAAATGCGAAGGACTTGAGGTCAAAGCCATCAATGCTTTCGCTTGAGAAGAGCTTGGCCCAGCCTCCGTTGGGGTGAGTGAGATTTTCATCACTGCTCTTGCATAGGGGCTGATACCTGCATGAGCTGTTGTTCCGGAGGAGGAGTAGCGGCAGTAGCTTCAGGCAACGCTACAGGCGGAACAGTCGCCGTAGGAGAACCAGGTAAATGTTGCTCTTCTAAAGGAGCCGACACTTGCGCAGGTTCTTGCTCTAAAGGAGCAGCTGAAGTAGTCCCGGGAGTAGGTGAACCTGCACGAAAAAACGGTCGGAACGCAGAAAAAGCATGCGGAAGAAGCCGAAACAAACCAAGCTTACCGGTAAGATAAAAAGGAGTATAACCCGATGCTTTATCGGATGGGACCTTGGGAGCATCACCAAGCTTACCGGTAAGATAAAAAGGAGTATAACCCGATGCTTTATCGGATGGGACCTTGGGAGCATCGTCATCAAAAGTGGTGACGTCATCGATGGAATCATGCTCATCGTCATCTTCATCGTCACCTGAAATGTTGCCAACATCGGCGTCCTCGTCACCTCTATCTTCATCAGCTGCAGAACAGCTGAAGACTCCGGAAGACTTGCACCAGCGGCTGGTCTTTTCATAAGTCCCGTTGTAGGACTAGGCATTAAATCATCAGCTTGTGACATTAATGCTGAAGGAGAAGGAGGTGGATTATCTTCGAGACCCCCTGGCTCCAACGCAGGAGACCTAGGAAGATCCATCACCGGAGCAGATTCTGCATCTGCAACCATTAATTCATCTTCTTCGTCCTCAGGAGGATGATAAGAAGAACCTTCGCCCGACAGAGCTGGACCATGAGAACGAAGTCCCGCTCTATGCGGCAGGCCAGCCACAGATGATTCCTGCGGTTCGTCATCTTTAGCAGCTTTAATGGCCTCAGCCATCAACTTGGATTTTTGTTGGCCTCTAGGGGGAGAATCCACCAACAACTTTCGACGGATCTGCTTATCATACTGGCCAGCTTCATCAGCAGAAAGTTTTCTTTTCCCCGCTGCTCTTGTCATAGGAGGATCAACCGCTCGTTGTTCTTCCACTGGAACGGGCTCAGCTCCTTGTTCCTCTTCCTGTTCGGCAGGTTGACTCTCAATGGATAGAAACTCATCGATCCCCCTCAAGCGAGACGTCTTAGACCCCTTTCTTGAATTATACATATGCCTAATGTCCTTCAGGCAAGATGTATTCAAGTTGAAGTTGGGAGTCTGAGAAGCAGCGTAATACCAATTGCAGAAGCTGATGGAGGTATAGGAATTAGCAGTTTTGTGGGGAAGCTTGAAGATGGCTTTGGTACAACCTGCCACAGAATAATACCAAGCCCTGGCTCCTTCATATAAGTTGGCTATAACTGAGAGTTGAGGACGAGGGTTCCCGACATACAACTGATCATACCCAAATTGGCGAGCGAACCTGTAGGGTTGGTAAGGCTCGACGAAACAGTTGGCGCCTTGTCGAAAGATCAGGTAGCCTGGCCTGATGGATAAAAGCCAATGGAAAACCCCCCCGCTCAGCTGAGTGAATCCATTAGGACCCGCCGTATCCTGATATTCTGCTCCATAGACACCGCCCTCGAAATCAGGGAAACAGCGGTAGATATGGAAGTTAGTGTCCCGTGCTAAGATTTGGCGGATCCTAACCATGTACCCCCCTTCCCATTTCGCGGACTCTAGTCGCTGCACAAATGGGATGAATGAGTCTCCCGGGGGAGAGGCTGCACTCATTATAGGAGGACAGTGGAGTACGTACCAAGCCATCAAATATGTATATGGCATCGGCACCCGGGGATTGGGAGTCTTGAAGGTCTTGTGGCCCTCAGACTCCACCTATGTAACATCAACAAAGTCAGAGGCCAACTCCCGTAATCCATACTGCATACAACCCACCATAGCGCTGAGGAGGCTCACAGGTCTTCCATGTGCCAAGAGAACAGCTGGGTAGACCACCTCAATAGCAAGGGCATCGATCGGCCTGGTAGGAACGACGCAACGTTTGAGCCACAGCATCAAGAATCCAGCTAGCAACGCCGCGTCGGAAATTGGAATCAGAGCTTGATAATGAAAGCTCTCAAATTCTGTGTGAGCCGGGAAAACATCTTCCTTAGCCTCATTGGTGTAGTGGGAGGTAGCGTCGTCAATTCGAGCTTGAACTTCCTCCAAAGTACTGGCAGGCAAGCGGGTCACTGAAGCTCCCTTAGTGGTCAAGTTATGGAATAAATATTCCGCCCAAGACACTTGCTTAATACCGCCTCCACGGACCCCCGTCAGCTGCATGCAAATGTGGAAGTGACACATGACTTCCCAGAGAGTGGCATAAATTTCCGGACTGGTCTTCTTTAAAATCTGGAGTTCCGCCGAGCCAGGAACAAACTCTTCATACGGCAACTCCCCGAGAACAAGACCCGAGACTTCATGCATCTCGTGAAGAGCGAAGCCTAACTCCCCCACAGGGGTGAAGAAAGTGCAACTATCAGGATTATACTTCTCTAGTATGGAGAAGAAGTGAAAGTGGCTCTGGATAATCCCAAACTCAGTAGCCCGCACGGGAACCAACAATCCAGCTTGGGCAAGAGGGGCTTCCAACTCTTTCAGAACAAACTTGGTCATCTGGGCCCACCATCCCGCCGCTGGAGAATGAACCCAACCAGGAGTTCTAAATCCTTGTGCAGGGAACTCTCCCTTCTTTTCCACGAATCTCTTAACAAAGGTCTTCGCCGGACTTGGCACTTCGCCAAGGGGATACTCCTTAGCAAATAAACTCGGCCGTAAAGCTGTCACCTGCCGATTATAACCAACGGGGCGAACCCCATAGAAAGTCAGAGCTCCGAGAGCAACCCCATCTTGATCCTTAACCAAGGGCCAATACATACGCCTCGAGACAGAAGCGCACTGGAAATAAGATATGGGGAACATCCTCTCCATGTTGGGCAAGAAAAGGTTGCGGTCATCAACTCTCCGCAGCCACTTATAGTCCCCATCATAAGCAGTGCTTGCGTTGAAGTCAACGAAGTCCCCGAAGAGATATCCAGGTTTGGTTATGGGCTTACGGCTTGGGCTTTCAAATCGAGCGTCCGAAACCAACGTCCTGAGAGTGTCATGAGAAGCTTGGGTGATCAGTTCCACGCGACTCTTCTCCCTCATCCGGAAAACCGGGAGTTCTAAACGCGAGCTGAAAGTTATGTTCATGTCTGCACCACCTTCATGTCCAAAGTGGTGGCGAAAAAGAAGAGGCTCGCTGGTATGGCGCACTGCAAAAAGAAGAAAAGAGTTAGACAACTCAAAATCAAAGTTCAGACGCGAAGGTCGAACCCCGCGTCAAACAAGTTCAGACGCGAAGGTCGAACCCCGCGTCAAACAAATCCAGACGCGAAGGTCGAACCCCGCGTCAGAAAACTCAGACGCGAAGGTCGAACCCCGCGTCAGACAATCTCAGACGCGAAGGTCGAACCCCGCGTCAGACAATCTCAGACGCGAAGGTCGAACCCCGCGTCAGACAATCTCAGACGCGAAGGTCGAACCCCGCGTCAGACAATCTCAGACGCGAAGGTCGAACCCCGCGTCAGACAATCTCAGACGCGAAGGTCGAACCCCGCGTCAGACAATCTCAGACGCGAAGGTCGAGCCTCGCGTCAGAAAAGTACCCCCGCGTCAAGAAAGATGAAACGACGGAGTCTAGCCCCACGTTATTGAAACGAGTTTCCTCGTTGATCTCAAGATCAGAACTTGCCGAAGCAAGTTTAATGGCCATGGAGGTCATACTCACCGCCAATCAAAGGGAGTTGGGGCGGCATATCCGCCTAAGGTCGAGCCTCGCGTCAGAAAAGTTCAGACGGGTGGGTCGACCCTCGCGTCAAAAATCTGAGACGCGGAGGTTAAACCCCTCGTCAAGAAGATTAAACGACGGGGTCCAGCCCCGCGTTATGGGAACGAGTTTCCTCGTTAATTTCAAGATCAGAACTTGCCGGAGCAAGTTTAATGACCACGAAGGTCGTACTCACCACCGATCAAAGGAAGCTGGGGCGTCACATTCGCCTGAGCAGCGGCGCCGCCGGTCGGCACCGACGGTGCAGATCCCCGAACCGCAGCGGCATCAGGCTTGGAAGCGACGTCGGACTTGGAGGACTTCTTTGGTGCCATTGAATCTCGTCGGAGAAGAAGAATAGTTTTCGCCGGAGATGAAAACGAAATTTCTTTTTCGTTAAATTTTCAAGAAGAGTCAAATGACTCTTGATTTGACCCCTAGCGGTCTATTTATAGACAGCTATGAGCTGTCAAATCCTAACGGACGGGATTCGAGGCCATCAGCCCGCCCAAACTCGACCCTCGCGTTCGAGTTGATTCAGCTTCCAAACGCGATGCTCACCTGCGCGTTCAAATTTCCCAACGCTGGGCTCACCCACGCGTTCCAATTCTCAAATGCAGAAGGCATCTCTGTGTTGAGACCACCATGAACAGCAATTTCTTGGTTACCAAAGCGATCAAAGCCAGGAAGAAACAAACGACTCCACTGGGGAGTCTGTTGGAGGAGTACAGATAGAGTACAGTCAACAACGGCGAAATCATCTGACTCGATCAGGCGGGAAGAGCAATCAATCCACCAAATTCTGGGATCCAAAGTATTCCGAAAATTCGTCCCAGTCAACCGCGAACTTTCGAAAACTTTGGAGGGGGTTCTGTAGGCTGTCTAAAAATCACAATAGATAGCTTATTCAAACAAGCTCCGACAACGGAGGTCACAATCAGACGACTTCCCAATCACTGCATCCGCAACTCCACAATTGCCACAAACGCGACCTCACCTCTGAGATGATTGATCTTGATGGCTGTGACAACAGCATGGCTAATATCGTAGCAACTATTAGAGATGCTGATGAGCAGTGGGACGATTTCAGAAATAAAAAGTTGGACTCAGTTGGTGAGTTGCTTGGTAGAGAGCTATGGGCGAATATTCATCTTTAAGACACTATGGATGTTGATTCCCGTCTAGCTCCTACAACGAAAGCTACAATCAAATAGCTTTCGGGTCGATGATCGAAACATATAGTCGAATAGTTGCTTGGTAGAGAGCTATGGGCGAATATTCATCTTTAAGACACTATGGATGTTGATTCCCGTCTAGCTCCTACAACAAAAGCTACAATCAAGTAGCTTTCGGGTCGGTGATCGAAAGCGGCAAATAGAGGACTTTTCACATAGATCGAGAAAGGTTACAATTCAACGACACTTCCGACAACTGATGAAAACTCTATGCAGCAGTCTTCACAATCTACAGTGAAAGTTACAATCTGACGACTTTCACACTCCACAACAGCTAAAGCCAGGATTACTGAACAACGGTCCTTGCAACGCTCTACAGAAGAAGTTACAAATCAGCTAACTCCTTCTGAAACGCGGGTGTCATCCCCGCGTCATAACTTTGGAAATGAAGGCGACCCTCGCGTCGTCAACCAACAGCGACCCTCGCGTCGACAATGCACAAGCCAAACGTGAGCGACCCTCGCGTTCAAAGGTGTTCAACCAACAGCGACCCTCGCGTCATCAAGGCACAAACCAAACGCGAGCGACCCTCGCGTTCAATGGTGTTCAGCTAACACCCAACTTCGCGTCTCAATTCAAAGAACACGAAGTTGAGGTTCTGAACGCCAGATTGGGCGTTTGACTCACTCAAACATGAGTCGAACGGTTCCAAAACCGTTTATCCCACGTTCTGAGGGATTTTCGCCCACGTAGGAGCGGATATAGGAGTCAGTTACAATCTCCTATCCCCCTATAAAATATCAACAAACTCGACAGAGTTAAGGGATCGGATTTTTGATAATCAGATCAAGGGTTGGATTCTTCATCATCAAAACCACTCAGGTTTGGAGATTCGGCAACAACAGCAACGAAATCCTTGGAGATAGGATTTTTGAACCAACCTCAGAAAATCAAATCTGAGAGAATCTTTCAACAACAGAAAAACAGCTTGATTATTAACCGAATTTTCGGTTCCAACAACTCTATTCACAGAGTTCAAACTCGTTCAGAGTTCTTAAACTCATTCAGAGTTATTCATAAAACTTTCCACGAAAGTTCATCGTTCCCACGAGATAAAGACGGTCGGATCGTCAACGGAGAGCAAGTTCGACGCAATCAATCGAAGGAAGCACTCCATCGCTGCC